TTTCCGTAGACCGTTCCGTCGACCGAGGTGGATATACGACGTCGACATCTTTTCCGTATACCGTACCGTCAACCGAGATGAATAGGCGACGTCGACATCCTTTACCTAACACCGCTCCGACAACGCATAACATATCTAACGTCTACAAATCACGAGATATACCGCGACAACAACCGTCTCGAAACCGGTTCGGTTAAAATCCGGTATCAACAATAAGTTTAAATTCCGCTGAGTCGACGAACTCATAACATGGGCGATAGAACATCGCGAAACAATACCGGCCGCGTCCCGCCAACCGCGCTCGCACCTGGACGCTCGCAGCTGATCCCGCGACAACAACGTAGGCTCCCGACGAGAGCAAAAACGCGACCAGACGCCAGCGGCGTAACTTCATATGTACATATTTGTAAATAACTCTTATAGTAGAATATAGTTACATATTTGTTATTAACTACATCACTGCTTCTCATTTATTGAGCTAAATCTTGGACCGCACCGACTAAGACTATCCGTAACGCAAGCCGTTACAAGTATACACTTTGTTCCAATTGAATCGTGCACAACGTTACACTTTGTGCATTTCTGTGTACATATGTGTCAAGATGTGTCAAGCAATTGGAAAGCACCCATAGACACGAACAGCGGCGCGTTGCCGCGCGACAGCGGTTATCTTCAGAAATAAACCATTTTTCTTTATACAGAGTTTGGCCCGATCCACATTCGCTCATTAGCTGACAAAGAATAATTTATTTCTCGTCAACTATTGCGAATTTTGCAAAATGGTACATGACTTTTCTATTCAATTTAATCCGTTTTATCTTCACACGAGCGGTTGTATGAAATATAACAATACTTGTATATAAATACAAGTCAGCAATATATCGTATGAGACATTAGAATCATTAATAACTCTCTTACTGTTAAAATGATCTAGTAGCTACCAAGACTAGGACTAGGACTACCAAGCGGAACAGGTGAGGTAGTTCGAGTTCGAAACTACGGAGGGATATATAAAGTAATTTATTTTTCTTTATGCGTTGAGAAACTCTCAGTAAGTCCTTTTTTAAGTTTTAACATAGAAGAAACGAAAAAAGTTACTATTTATAGCATCAAAAGGCATTTGTATTATCGAAAATTATGCATAATTGTGTATAACTTTATCTATTTAGATATAATTATATATGGACAAATTTCATATATAATTTTGCATAATTTTGTATAAACATTTTTGCAAAATTATGCATAAAAAATTTTTCATCGGGAAGTAAGCCGTTCGATGTGAAAGTGGTCTCGCCCGTCCACAGGATACGATCTGGGAAAGAAATATTCCGCCGATACTGCGCGAGGAAACCTACCCAGCGAAAACAGCTTAGTCAAAATGATGTCAATATGACATCAAAACCGTCGTTTGTTGTCATTGTGTCAAAAAAATAATTAAATTTGACGAAAAATTGACATCAGATAAATTGACTTTGTACGCAATAAAATTTCATAAGAAAAGGTAAAAATGGATGTTTAGATGATAATTGTGGTATTATAGACCAAAATGTAATCCACGTCATGTTGAAATCAAAATGACTACAGGATGATGAGACTATTTGACTTATTCTTTTATGAACTTGAGAAGAATCTCCGGCGTTGTTTTGTAATGTATATATTGTGGTACAGTAGACTCTCGATAATTTTTTACTTCATGGACTGTAGGAGCGGAAATTCTTGGAAATGGAAAGTTATCGAGAGCCACTACTTCTCAGCTTTCTTTCTTGTTGGTGCGTTAATATATATATATATATTATGCGTTTTATGCACGCATTTATGAAACGGAACGATTTCGAAGCGTTGCGCATGGGTATTGCAGTCTACGCGCTTCATGCGTGACTCGGAACGCACCCTTAGTGAGTGTACGTGTGGAGGGAAGGAGCTAGTGCGAAAAATTATAAGTTATTAAGTGCGAAAATTGCTGTACTGATCAAATCGATCTGCTGTACTTATCATATCGACATGGATAAAAGACCAGTAAGTATGACTTGCCTGTAATAAGTGTAAATTTATTGTTTCTTTTTCGCACAATATACTTATTTTATAGTGTATAAATGATTGAGGTTAAGTTACGTTAACCGATATTCTCTACATGGTAAATGAGTTACACATTCAGAACTGTCTTTTTCAGTAAAAGTGTCACTAAGAGAGGTATAGAAATTATCTCATTGGCTGAGAAGCCACATTTAACACACTTTTATCGATAAAAGAAGGTTTAGAATATGGGCCATAAGCTTTTTCGCACTTTCCTTTTCTGGAGTGCCCGAAAGTATACATCGCGCATATCAGTTTTAAGCACTTGTAATAATGTAATTATAAAAGATATATTCCAATGATGAATGGAACATAACTTAAACTAATAATATAAATGTCATAACATGTGATGTTATCATATTTGTTATAATTATTCAATGTATAGTGTATATTTCAAGACACTTCTAAATAAATAATTTATGCTTATATTATGTATTTATGGAAATATTTGGTTAAATTATAATATATTAAAATATTCATTGGTACAGTGTGACATTGTTGCAAAGAATTCTTATTTCTGGTATGTTACATTTGTAGCAACCTAGGAAACACAAAGTATTATCGATGTTACAATGTCAGCTCAATCATATGGTATATTATGTAACTGTTACTTGTTATATAACAAAGTAACACTTACGTAATATGCGATATGATTGAGCTGACATTGTAACATCGATGATACTTTGTGTTTCCTGGGAATAAAATAATTTATTTAGAATGTTCCAACTTAGAATTTCTGAATATATTACAAATAATATGCCTATATTACTTAATAGTATGACAATGCATCTTGAATCTTTTATGTGTAGAACCGTCATGAACGGATTATAAAAAAACGAGCTGAAATGGAACGTAGACGTAGGTTGAGATTGCAATTATATGAGACATTATATGAAGAATCAACTTCTTCATCTGAGACATCTCATCATTCTAATATAAATGAAGAGGAACTTTTAGTTTTAGAAGAATCAGATGCGAATATTGATATGCAAGAACAGTTTGAACAAGAACAAATAGAAAATAGCAGTCAGTCTGAAGGCAATATTTCAGTTCACGAAAATAATTCAGATTGGTCAGAAAATACAAGAGATTCCATGAATAATGTCACTGATAGTATGTCTGATGAATATGATGAAGGTGTCTATTTGCGTGTGGCTTTGGCAGAATGGGCTTCTCGTGGTGTATCAAAAAAAAAAGTTAACAATTTGTTACATATTTTACACAGAGTACATCCAGAGTTACCTAAGACATACATAACCTTGTTGGAAACACCTAAAACTACAGTAATATCTGAGATTGACAACGGGCTCGTGTGGTATAAAGGAGTCAAAAGAAATCTTTATTCCTCTCTAACTCAAGAATATGTAAATATTTATGGGTTAATACGACTAAATATCAATATAGATGGATTACCTTTGGATAATAGTGGCAAATTGCATTTTTGGCCTATTTTAGGATCCTTAGCTGACATGACCTGCAAGCCTTTTATTATTAGCGTTTATTTTGGTAAAGAGTCGAAGCCCACAACATTAGAACAATTTTTAGAAGAATTTGTTCAAGAGATGGAGGAGCTTTTTATAAATGGTTTCGAGTTTAATGGTTATGTCTATAATGTGTCTATACATAACTTTATTTGTGATGCTCCAGCAAGATCTTTCCTGAAGTGTACCATTGGACATAATGGATTATTCTCCTGTGAAAAGTGTGAGGTTGAAGGTGAATGGTATCATAACAGAATGATATATTTGAAAAATGGACAGAAGCGTACAGACAAATCATTTATTGATAGAAGAAATCCTGAGTATCACCTAGGATTATCGCCATTAGAAGAGCGTCTCAATATAGGAATGGTGTCCCAATTCAGACTAGAATATCTTCATCTTGTATGTCTTGGTACGATGAAAAGATTTATGATGCGATTATTAGAAATAAGAAACCGAGGCAAATTAAAAGATGAAAACATTGAAGCTTTTAAAAATACTTCAGCATGGATTGGACAATTTATCCCTAAAGAATTCAACCAAAAGCCCTATCGATTTAAGAAAGTTGCTCATCTCAAAGCTACAGAAATTAGAAGATTTTTACTATATGATGGTGTTAAAATAATGAAGGATCATACTCCTCACGAAATTTATCACACTTTCTTACTACTTCACTGTAGCATTTACATCTTAGCTGCTCCTTTATTTGTGCAGAATGTTGCAATGAAAAATGCTGCTAGAGAATTTTTGAACTTATTTATACAATGTAGTAGTCAAGTTTTTAGCCGTGACTTTGTTGTATCTAATGTGCATGGGCTTACTCATCTAGTTGACGAATGCGATGAACATGGATCCTTAGATTCCTTTAGTGCTTTTCCATATGAAAACTATTTGAAGACAATCAAGGACTCTTTACGATCAGGATATTATCCTTTACAACAATTAGCAAGAAGGGATGCTGAGACAAATGGATGTTTGTCAGAGCCGAAAACTATTTTTGAGGGTATAAAGCTGACAGGAAATCATTTTAATCCTAATGAAATTGTTGAAGGGATTCACTATAAAAAGCTTACAAACAATAAGTTTACATTAAGATGCGTTACTCCTGATCATTGTTTTAAAACCGAAGATGGATCTGTGGTATTGTTGCGAAATATTGTTCAATCTGAAAACAATATTGTGATCCTACGTGGGCAGCGATTTCAGACACAAAATAATTATTATCAATACCCAATGGACTCATCCTTGCTTGGTATCGTTCTTGTTTCACAACTAGATGATAAAATCAGATCTTGGGAAATGAATGATGCAATTATGAAATGTGTCCTTATTCCTGAAAATGAAATGTCATATCTATGTATTCCTTTAGCGCATAGCTCTTCTGGAATATTATGACTATTGATGATAAAGGTAGGATCCGTTATTGTCTGTTTATGCACTCGCATTGCTATAACTATATAGGTGTTGCTTTTTACTACTCACAGGAGACATTGGTTATCAATCTAGTTATATTCTTTGTGGTGATATAGTTTACACTTCAAGTTTTCTACTTATGTGATTTATTTATATTGCTTATACTTTTTACACTGCGTACCTTAACTTTTGCTTTTTCTACGTCCAAATATCGTTTGTTTCGTTCGGAGACTGACATTCTATTTCGGATCTTATATATAAAACCATCTTAAGTTTATTTTCAGATACTTCATAGGTAATGAAATGATCCGTACAGCATCTGACGATTATTTCTTTGTTAAGCGTCATAGTACTTTGAGATTCGTCCAATATTATGTTGAATATATGTGGTTTTGGATTTTTAATTGTGTTCTCTTGTCTGAATCTTATAATATGTTATTTCTTCCAGTATGCTATAGTAGCTTTTACGGGAGAGGAACAGGAGGATGCAGAAGAAACAATCGCAGTGGTTCCTGTGAAATGGATTGACAAGCTTCACGATGACATCACAGATATTTTCTGGCCTCCAAAAAGATGGCCAGAAAAAGGGTCAAGAGCAATACACCTAAAAAGAGCTATAAAAAATTGTATTGAGCCTGACATTCATTGGCCACTTCTTAAAGGATCAGTCCTACATTTATACCGTAAGTTTGTTAAATATGACAAGATAAATTTCTTTCTATTTATTTTTTTAGTAAAGTTTTATACAATCCCAGGCGGCAGAGTGACGTCACATGACGTATTAATAACGTCTTAATGACGTCTGTCACGTCATTAAGACGTCTTAACACGTCATTCTGCTGCCTGGGATGTATGAATTGTTCAGAATCATTATTTCTTTCCTATGATGATTGTAACTTTGATATGCTTTAAGTTGCAATAGAATTTTTTAATGTTTCTATTGCAATGAAATATTTGTTTCTTAAAAGAGCTATATGGTAGAAATCTATTAGAATTGTTTTTACTATTATATTTATTATTGCAGATGAGTATGATTATGCAATTAAAGGTTTGAAGAAAGCTGAAGATAACACATCACTTGAAACGGAGGCGGATGACGCTCCACGAAGAAAGAAGCTACCAAGGCGTTATATAGATTCTGATGGAGACAATGAAGATGATGAAGAGAACAATATGCCGACTAAGAAAAAAGGTCGTTGCAAGAGAAAAGTTACAAAACTTAGTGAAAGTGATGATGAGAGTGGGAGCAAGACTTTGCCTCGGATAAATTCTGATATCTTGAATGCAGTTAAAGAAAATAGCATCCATGTGCTTAAAGAAAATAACATGAAAAACAAAGTAAGGAGAGAAAAAGCGCTCAGAAGGCAATCTCTTGAGGACTGTACAAGGCTCAGAATCCTTCAAGAATTCCCAAACTATTCAAAGTCCCAAAGCCAAGGCGATAAACAAAAACAACAGAAAAAAGTTCACAGTAGTCAATTTGGAAATGATGTCAGAAAAAATCACAATGAAAAACGAAAAATGGATCATACTAATCGGAAAAATTTTATGTCCGTCAGAATGCCAAGCGAGAATAGTGCAGCAACATTTTTTAATAGTAAAATGTCCTCAGTTCCCTCCCCTATCAAGGAAAAAGTGGCAAACGACAAAAAGAGTAAAACCTCAGAGATTCATAAAACTTCCACTCATAACTTGTCAATATCTGCACCTGATGTAGCATCGAGTGATATTTCTCTTCAAGATCATACTGAATCTTCATTTCCATTCTCAACAGAGATAAATAGTTCTGATAAGGGACTTTCATGTTTGTCTCAAAATTCACAATGTTCCTTGGTACACACCATCACTTGTGGTACGAGATCTGAAGCATGTTCTTATTCATCACCGGATTCAGAAACTAATCAAAATGGCATTTTACTTGAGAAAAAAAGCGACGAAGAGACAAAAATGCAACTGGAGCCTTCTTACTCTTTCAAATCCAAAGGTAAAGATATTTTACAGTATAGGTAGTTATGGTTTTGATATTCTTTGCACGTTCTCAATTGATATTTTGTTTCTTTTGTCAGGTAATTTTACATGCAAACAATGTCATAATGAAATTATGCTGAACAGTACAGTACTCCTGGAGGTAAGCAAAAAGTTGGATTCAGTGCTGATAAACCAGGCAATCATTATGCGGTCTGTCAATCCAGATTATGCCAAATCCATGACACCTTTTCACATTCCAAATATTCCATTAAAAACAAGAGAAGACTTTCAAAACATGGAAATTTTTTTGGCAGCTAATCGTATTAATTTTGAAGCTGTGGTAAATCCTATGTAATATTCATTTTAACATGTATAATATACATTAAAAATTTATTGAGCAGTTATGATAATCATCTTGTATCACCTTTTGTGCTCTAACAGCGAGATCTACTTCATTCTAAATGTGCCAGTGCTTTAAGCACATTTGTTCCTTCAGAGCGCAGTATTACAGGGAACATTTTATCGAAGTTGATCTCAAATAGTCTTGCCAAGCTGATAACTTGGAGTGGGTCAGAAGGCAATAAGATAAAGTTCTCTGAGACAAAACAATGTGAAATTGTATTTTGTAAGTTACCAATTTTATTTTTATTTATTCTCATAAATACCGTACTTTTTATACTATTTGCATGAATATTTTTTTAATATAGACATAGTACATGAAATATACATTGCGTTTATTCTACTGATTGATAATATCATTATATTGTAATTGTTTTTGTGTGCAGGTGCAGTTAAATTACGATTTCCTGATAGCTTTCTTACTGACGCTGAAGCTAAAATCAAGCGTTGGTTCCAAACTGCCAATGGTAGGAGAGTTAGTGAATCTCATGATTCTGATGCTTAACACATATACACTCACATATATTATATTTTTTCGTTACTTGTACTTTGATTAGAGGATTATTATTGATGTTAATTTTGTTTGTATTCTTTTCGTCTCTGACAGATCTAGATAGCTTCATGAGAACCTTGATTTGTTTGATGTGCAATACGTTATTTTTATAATAAGACAAATTTTTGTTCGAAGACTGATTTTTTCCTAATGTGGAAATAGTATAAAGTATTACACACATGATTTATTACAGTTTCTAGTCTATTTGCTTATCTATTATGTAAGCTAAATTTAGTTGTTAACTAAGTTGGTTTATATTTACCCTGCCAACTTCGTTGTGAAGTTAGATTCTTAGACTTTTTTTTCTCTTTAACTTAGCAGGGATATATGAAAAGTTTTCCTATATTTGTTTTAAATGTCACATTATATATATGATAACATTTGTGATAGCATTACATTTATTCCATATCCTCCTATTCCATAATCTTGCATTTATTCCTACAGAAAGTACTCAATGAACATCAAATAACAGTAACATAAAACCGATGTTATAATTTCCTACTTAACTATGTCACTGTTACATTACATGTGTTATATTGCACTTATATTGTTGAGTGGAAAATTATAACATCGGTGTTATGTTATTGATGTTTGGTGTTCATTGGTGTTCACTTTTACTTAGACATCAAATTGCCATCAAAATGCCATCAAAATGATAGTCAAAATGATCATCAATTAATGGGACGTTTTGCAGTCATTTCTACCGTCATTTTGACTACTCATTTTGACATCATATCCCTCATCAATTTGATGGCATTTTGACATCATTTTGACTAACTTGTTTTCACTGGGTATGCATATTAAAGGATGATTAATAGAAACATATTCCGCACAGTCAAATAAATAACAAATAAAGATTATAAAAATACCTTTACAAAAGAAGACGCGCCGTTATTTGTTGCTAGGGAGTAACTGTTGCACCCGTTGATAATGAAACGGGTGCAATCCATTCTCCTATAACGTATGATGTACCAGTCGTCGTGATAGACGTAGTGCAGTAGCTACACGACGCACGTTGATTCCAGAATTCCTTTCGAACTCTTGTAATATCTTCTCTTCATGATGGACGTGGCGATGCCGTATCCTTCTGGCGGGTTGTGTCGACAGTACAAGTTGTTCGTACGGAACTGTATCGTTCACTGAAGTCGTAGATCCTGACACAAATAATAGACAATCGATGAAGATTCATTATTTCTCGCGTCATCTTCGAAAATATCGCGAGATGACGCGAGAAATAAAAGAATTTTCGTCGATCGTCAATTATTTATGTCAGGATCCAAGGCTTCAGTGCACGATACAGTTCCATACGAACAACTCGTGCTGTTTTTAATGACCAAATTCACCGTGAATGAATATACCGATTTGTTCATCACGTACGGTATGGCGGGAGAAAACTCATGTGCCGCCAAAACCGGCACGATTTTCCGCCTTTAAGCGGAACGATTTCCCGAGCGTGAACGACATCCTCCGCGCAATGTCATTCTGCGGTGTGTTAACCGCTTGAGAGAAACATGAATTCTCCTGCCGGCTACACATCCCGACTTTCTCCCGCTACAGCACAATAGCGAAATTTACGGACTTTATAGAGAATCAACTCCCAGTGTTCCTCGAAGATGTCCCTCCCACGCACGGGCAAAGTTAATTTTCCAGTAAAATGGAGCTTTTGCGCATTTCAATCGGTGAGTAAGACATTTTTGAGATGCGCATTTTCCGGAAAGGTGGATGAGTGGAGGTGGTCCAATCACCTGGCCGGCACGCTCGCCTGATCTTAACGTACTCGATTATTTCATATGAGGTCATGTTAGATTGAGATTTGATCGAGCACCGGCGTTGTGGTACAGAACAGGAAGTACGTGAAGCTATTGTCTTCAATACCATCACGCCGGAAGTGGCACATCGTGCGAGGCGCGATATTATACGAAGAGCCGAAATTTGTATACGGCAGGGAGTGCGGCACTTCGAACAATTTTTGCATTAATTAGTTACAATGAATTAGGGCTACAGGGACACCACTTAAAAAAAAACGCGCCATGCTCTCTATCGTCAGGTGGTGTGGAAAGTATAGCATTGAAATATGATTATAATTATTTCTAAAGGGAAGCGAGATATTTATTTCTCGGCGACATACGCGTACGACGCATGACGACGACATGCAAGCGGCACGCTGCAAACAATCGGCGTTCACGCGTCAGATCAGAGCTGGGAAATCTTGCCTGGCATTTTACTTCTTCCATTTACTCCTTCCACTATGTTACCAAACGTCTCTGCGTTTTAAGCCTGTCCATTTTCAAAAAATAAATTCTCGCATTTTCAAAAATAAATTCTCGCATTACATTATCGGTTGCTTGCATTATTCGATAACGACATACGACGAAGAACAGGCTTTAGCAGTGAATTTTAAGTAGCAGTCGAAGACGAAGGAATCTGACGCAGAGCTGAGAAATCTTGCCCGGACGTGTCACTTATCACACAGAGACGCTTCTGTCCGTCCATGTGACTACGCGCGCTCGCCGAGATCGGCGCGCCGAGCTGAGAGAGAGAATGTCATTCCCTCTTTCTCGTTCCACATCGCGTGGGTGTGGAGCGGCTGTAGAGCGAGAAAGAGGGAATGACATTCTCTCTCGCTCACTCGATGCGCCGAATTCGACCGAGCACGCGTAGTCACACGAACAGAAACGTCTCTGTGTGATAAGTGAAAGAAGTAAAACGCCAATACGCCCGAGAAGATTTCTTAACTCTGCGTCAGATTCCTCTGTCTTTGACTACTAATCAAAATTCACTGCTAAAACCTGTTGTACGTCGTATGTCGCTGTCGGATAATGCAAGCAGCCGATAATATAATGCAAGAATTAATTTTTTGAAAATGAACAGGTTTTTAAAACGCAGAGATTCCGCTCGTTTGATAACATAGTGAAAAATATCGCTCCATATGACCATCCGTGTACGTGTGCGCTCGGAACGAGCAACGGGTAGTACAAGGAGACAGACGTATGACGTTCTGTCTTTTCTCGCTCGGATGAATCAGCGACGATCATGGCGATGCTAGACGGAAGACGCGGCCCGTACATTGTTAAATATTACAGTCTAATTTAAATCAGTTTCTTGACTTCAATAATATTTAGTTTTTTAATTACCATGTGTGTCGAAATTTATTATTTTAACACAAAACATGAGTTTAATTTAAATTATTTAACGCCATTATCTTATTTATCAGTAGGTATACTATAGGGGTTCTAACCCATGGTCCTCCGAGGGGAGTGAGGGGCGGAGGGTACCGCGGGCGGGGGTATGACGTCACGGGGGGGTATGACGTCACGGGGGATTTCGTCACCGCGGGGGGGGTATGACGTCACCACGGAAGGGGGGTTATCATCGGTCGGTAACTGGAGGGCATACCGATGTTACCGACGGTCGGTAATTTTTACCGATATTATATAATTACATAATTTTTACCAACATATAATTTTTACCAACATATAATTACACAATACCGATAGTACCGACAATCGGTAATTTATTACCGATATTATATATCAACATTTAATTTTTTACCAACATATATATATTTTTACATAATTTTTACTGTCACATTTACATAATATCGATGATCGGTAATTACCGATATTATATAATTTTTCTATCTGCTTTCGATAGATCATTTTACCGATCTGCGGCGGTTTTCGCGATCGTTTTTCGCGGCGGTTTTCGCGGCGGTTTTCGCGGTGGTTTCCGCGGCGGTTTCCGCGGTGGATTTTGCGGCGGTTTCCGCGCCGCCAGCGCATTTCGCAGCGTGATTTTTTAGTCACAGCTGCAAACTCTAACTGTACTTGCTGGTTGCAAGTACAGTTACCGGATAATGTGAGTTTTAAAAGTTTCTTGCCATACATCGTGCAGCATTCCACTGCCAAATCACGAATTCATAGCGGAGAGGATGACACCTTGGTTGTTTGCAAAAGTTGTAAAATATCTTCACGTTTTGCTATCAATCCTCCCCAAATTGCCAAGTGTAAGACCAATTGATTGCCACGATTGTCACCGAGGACTAGTTGCACTGTGGATACCAGTCCTACGCTGATCCCAATCTCCAAGTACTTAAAAGACGTTGACGTCAAAGCATATCTTCGCCCTAAAATACGGGCTATACAACGAGATTGCGACACACTGTAAAAACATAAATAATTTAACGCGGTTGCAATACACAATTAAAGATAAATGATTTACAAGAAGATAATTATTGAGACTTACCTTTTTTTCTCGTACGGTGGAGCATCATCTTACACGGATACGTAATAGTTCATACGTTTTCCTTCAGCACTGTGCATTCTTCTCAAAATAATAATTGTCCACTAAATGTCTTTGTTCCAAAACGACTGATGCAACGAGCGACCAAGAACCGCTTTAAATACGTTTCAAAATTCCTCCCCACCA